GGCTGGGTTGACCTGGGAACACACAGATTTGCCAGTATAAAATCTAGATTCCTAATTTGCTACAAGAAATGCAAAACATAATAATAGTTTCAGAAGATAAACACGGCAATAACACGATAAAACTAATACTATATTTATCTATCTGGAAGCTCTGGGCACACACACACAAATATATATATATATATATATTTTACCTTGTATACATTATGTCAAGTACCAGACTTCTAATACACATTATACAAAGCATAAGATTTTCATACAAATTATTTCATGTAACCAATCTTTAGACATATTATTTCAGACATCCAATAGTTCGGACACTGCATGTTTATCAGTTTTGGACATTATTTCCTGTCGTTAATTTTCCAACACAAGAGTGTTTAAAGAGTATTACTAAGATGTGATTCCTAAAAAGAGTAATAGACATTTCGAGGAGAAAGAAGATCAGAAATGATTCAGTCAGAAATAAAATAAAGGTTGTAGCTGCACCAGATTTCTTCATAAAGCAACATGTGAAATGGTTATACCAGTGCGCTTGGTTGCCAAAGACAGTATAACGCGGTGAACATTGATACAGACCTAGAAAGAGGGGCTTCAAATCATGTAAAGAATGCGTAGAAGAGCCATGAGAAATCTTGTAGTCAGTGCATACAAAAAGGTAATTGTCCTGCTGTTTATACTTTACTATGGCATATGGCAGGGTACTGGAGGAACAAGCTAAGAGAAAGAAATGTCCTTCAAATTAGCGTTCACTGGCTGTAAACTCCAGTAGAAAGTTCTAGTTGTTTTTCCACTCCTGGACTTCAGTCTTGACCCAGAACTTGAGTTTTGCATGTCCATCTGTGTTACAGATCTGGCTTTTTTGTATGCAAAACTGTTGGTTCTTAGGCAGATGCACTCCAATTTTGAAGAACTCTTATGAAGAGAACACTGATTGCCCACATCAGAAAGAGACAATCTACATTGTTTGGTCATGTGATGAGAACGAGAAAACTGGAGTACATCGTGACAATTGGAAAGTTGGAAGGGAAGGGGGGGGAGGCAGAAGGAGACTGAGAAAACAGATGCTGGACAGTCTGACATCATGGCATGGAAGATCTTTTATGTCAGAGTTGATTGAAAGTACACGAGACAGAAGGTTGTGGATAGACATGACTACCAATGCCACACAGCACAGACTTTAAGAAGAAGATGGTACCAATTGCAGCCCGACTAAAAATTGGCCTGTACTTCCCTTGCAGGGAGAAAATTGTCCAGAACCTCTGCTTATTCCTGGCTGAATCATTCACTTCATTTGTGAATACTGTGTCTGTTCTGCTGCACCAATTACTTGATCTCAAAGAGCCCTCACAACATCTGCTTTCTCATAAAACAGCTCACTACCCAGATGGGCGGCAGCAGCTAATCTATCAGCCTGCTCCTTACCAAGTACACCAAAATGTCCTAGGAAACAAATACTAAATAAAGATTAATACTTTTAAACCTGAAGCACTAGAATACACATACTTTATACAAAAGTAAATCACAGGAAATGAATGTTTAGCCAACTTACTGATAAATCACACCACAGCCTTTTCACCAGTCCTTTTGGGTAAACTTGTATGTTAAGAAGTCTACCAGAGAACTAGAAATGAACATTTCAAATTTTGTGCACTCGTATCGTAACTGCAAATCAGTGTTATTATCCAACTATTTTCAGACTGTAATGCATTGACTTACTTTGTCCTATCCTAAGAGTATTTTCAACACCACACAACCGTAGCTTTGGATGTGGCAAGGGAATTAACTCTGATTTCATATAAAGTTACCACTAACTGACCTGGGAACAGTGATCATTTCCTGAAGTCGACTGAGTATACAGTGCTAGTCCCAAATTCTAACAGACCAGTTGGCACCTAATTGGTCATGATGTCACTGTCATGCTGCTACCTTTGTGTACATGAACATCTTTTGGTATCCATATTAGTCTGGGCTGTCAACCTGTACGTCAGAAATGCAACCTGAAAACCTTATGTTATGGCAGGGCAGGGCAGGGCCTTAGCCCTGGCTGGCAGCTGGTCTAGGAGGGAAACTCCGACAGGCGGACAGATAGAGCACTGCTCTTCTGATCCAGCAGCTTCTGCAGCCTGCTTTGTTCCAAACGTACTGATGTTACCTTTCCTCTGAAGTAAACAAGCCAGGTCGAGAGAGGGATCATAATGCATAGGCAACATATGGTCTCTAAAATACTGCCCAGGCTTTGTGCTATGGACTCCCATGCCTCCTCATTAAACAATATAAGACTGTATAACACTGTTGTCTGGAAAGACAGAAAGGTGCCTGGTTATCAATCAACCTGTGCATTCAGGTAAAAATTCCAGCCTCGGTGAGAATTCAAACTCGTGACAATACACAAGCCCACACTGGACTAAAGGTTACTTTGTAACTATTTTGCAGGGTTTCCAGGATTTTTATCTGTTTCATTCTCTACATTGAGATGTTGATCCTAAGCCTGCAAACCCAGAGTGGGAGAAAACCTACCAGACTACCACGGCTTCATAAATTCAGATAGGACTTCATAAATTCACATAGGACTTCATAAATTCACATAGAACTTCATAAATTCACATAGGACTTCATAAATTCACATAGGACTTCATAAATTCATATAAACTATATTTTTCTGTCATTTTTCTTCTATCTCAAGGTGTAGGAGAAAATGAGACTTTGTAGTCTTGAATATTTGCCGTAAATACATTTTCACACATGCATTTCATTATTATTAACCTTACGTGGTGCTTTAAAAAGGGAAATAAAACATGAACTGAAATCATACAAATAAACATACAAAGTATAATATTTATACAGTTCATGTATTAATTGCATATAGTATATTTACATTATAGCTGCTTACAGATGTAATGTACATAAAAATTTTATTGTACAATTTTACTGTGCTCTTGTTTAATTTAACTCTTTGAGTCCCAAGGAACGCATCATATGTTCATAGATTCCTACCTAGAATGAACGCATGATGCGCCGATTTTACATCTCTCTTGACTACCCCTTGGGCCTGTGATGCTAAACTTCCTGGGACTCAAAGAGTTATTGAAACAATTCTACATACTGTGTTTTTTTTTTTCTTCAGATGGTAAAATAACAATTACATCTTTCTGAACTGGCTAACTTTGTGATGTTGTATCTTATTAATTTTTAAGTCATCTGCAATTCTGGATCCATAAATCTTTTCCTTTAATACTCTAAGCAGGTTCACATTTGTATTACTTCATCGACTGTACTTTTATGTTACCACATTTGTTTGTGTCCATGTTACAGTAAAGAGTCATCATGTAGAACGTTTTGTTGTTATTGTCTTAGAAGAAAACCATTTTGTTGTAGGTAAAATAAAATAAAGGATCCATTTTGGTGCATTGAAGCACACTGTGCATATTGTGCTAGCCCCAAGAGATCTATAGATCAGTCAGCATTCAACGGGGTTTTTGGCCATATTTTTTTGTCTTTTTTACTGTTACATGATTGGAAGTTTCTTTACACTTAAAAGAAATACTACTGGCCTTTAAGTAGTTTTCCCACAGTAAGTAAGGGTCATTTTCCACGCCTTTAGGCATATAGGGCTAGACCTATATTTTTATAGACCAATCGGCACAAGATGAGTGATGAGGCCAGCATCATTCTGACTGCCTTTACTTCCCGGGACTGCACCCGGTACCCACTCAAGGCTGGGTCGACCTGGGTTTACCACAGTGTATTGTCTTTAATTTTCTTTATCACCTTCTTGACATCAACTGGCTGTAAACTCCGGTGGAAAGTGCTGGTTGTTCATCCACTTCTGAACTTTAGTCTTCTTTCAGAATCTGAGTTTTGCATATGCATTCATTCTACAGATCTGGCTTATTTGTATGCAGACTGTTGGTTCCTTGTCATTCAATGAACTCCGTAGCACCGGTGAGGGTCCTGAAATACTCTGGTTAGATTTTAAACTCCAAATTTTGCCAGGGCAGCACCATTAACTCTTTTCGATTTCCAAATGTCAAGGGATTCTTTTGCATGCGCAACACATACACACAGGCGTCCGATCTTACTACCTAGAGACCAGGGGAAATTACTAGAAATCCACATGAAAAAATCCCAGCCTTCACTGTGGCCTGAACCTGAGACCTCCAGGACTCTAGGTGGACGCCATGCCTTGAGACCAGGCAGCCCCCCTCTCTCCCTGTCATGTGTAGACAAGGATACCAACCTGGAGACAAGGTCACTTATTTAAACAAATCCACCTCAATACTGATCTGAACACTTTACTTCCAGGCCAGCAGCTGTGTGTCTAGCACCTATGCTTCCATGACCCTTAACTTTCATGCGTTGACAGACAATGAATACTCCTTTATGAAGTAAATTTAGCTTGCTGAATGCCGTTCAATGAAATGTTCACTCGCACATCCCTGGAATATTTGGAGCATTTCAAAATACCCTCTTTACACTGGTCACAGTTTTTACTACAACTCAATGCCTGATTGGCCACATATATTAGCCTAGCTTAAGTTTGACTAGTAAATTCATTTGCATCTAACACTCTTTCCTACTGAGTTGATTATATGGAATGTGTTCCTCTTTGTTACAAAATAGAACCACTTTATCCATTTTCTCATATTTTTTTAAACATTTTGGCTTGAATTATTTAGCTTGAGCAAAATAAATTCTGGACACTGGGGAGTCTTTCTTCAAACCATGAATGCACAGCAGTGACAAACAAGGCATCTTATTTAGAAAACTGACTTGGCAATTGGCTGTACAGTTTTACAGCAAAACATACTTCACATTTTGGCAAATGTTTCTTTTCTCATCAGACAAATCCCATCATACATTGTAATTTCTGAGCAGAATAAACATTTGCCATGTAACCTTCCCTGTTAACACAGGACAAGGATAACTTTCTCAGTGTGATGTTGTTTACTATATTTCCATTTATATTCTGTGGCGGCCATCATTAGAAGGAGATCATTTTAATCAATGAATCTTGTGCATGCTTTTTTCCACTTGCACTGAGTGCACCATTGATCTCGATTTTCCATGCCATAAACTTTCCGGCACTTTCTGACTTCACTTCGAGCTCTTCGGTGCTGAGAAACTTTAAACGTTGAGGATGCAATACTGGATTTAGGAGACTGAGCCTGGTGCTGGTACAGACGTTCTTGTGGGGTCAGTTTATTTGACCTCTGTGGAGGAGACACCTGGGGAAGATAACAATGTTTCAACAGTCAGAAACAAATTATATTTCTACGAGTTAGTTAGTTGCGTATCCTTTAAAGGAAAAGCAAGAACCAACCCCAGCATTTTTTGTGGTGGTTTTTCTAGGCTAATGTTATGTTCAGTAGTTTGCCACTGCTTTCTGAATGATCGGATCTTGATGCCGCTGTTAATGCAAGATGGTTCGCTGCCAAATTGCACTCGGCTGGGATCGAACCCGGCACCTCAGCATTATGAAGCATATTCACAATGCATTTACCACAGAAACTGACATTTCTACAGATGCAGTTTATAAAAGAAATAGCAGATTAGCAATAATTATTACTTTCACTTGTTCTTTCTCAAGAAGTTTAATTTAAAACTCCCCATATGACTTCCACAGCCCCAAGGGGTGGGGGGATAGACCCTCTGCCCCCTAACAAGCATGTCATAAAAGGCAACTAGTTAGCAGTCTGCTGAAATCGGATGTGCTGAGGATGCGGCGGTGCTGAACAAGACATGGCAGAACTAGGGCTCACAAGCATGAGACTTATCTTCACCTCTCTGCAGTCATCTTAGAAACAGATTCCAAAATGGGGACCTGGCCAAACTAGCTAGTATCACGTTTCATTCAAAGCTGGAGTACGACTGTCTCAGCGTGAGGAACCAACAATCTGCAAACAAATAAGTCAAATTGGTAAAATGGATGTGCACACATCTTTGAAAAAGACCAAAGTCCAGAAATGGACAAACAACAAGGACTTGCTGTCGCAATTTACAGCATGGAGAAGAAGAAGGATGTGTTAGGCTGACAGGTGCAGGCTGACAGGTGCAGGCTGACAGGTGCAGGTTGACAGGTGCAGGCTGACAGGTGCAGGTTGACAGCTTAGCTGTGACCACAATATGACATGTCAACAGCTCTTTTAAAGGTGATCACATAAAAATAAGAAGAAGAAAAAGAGGATGACTGAAAAGACAAAGAATACACTTACCAGACTCCCAGTGGGGGAGGAATGAATGTGCCAGGACAGTGATCGCTGGATCTGTCCTCCATCAATGGCGATCGGCAGGCTTGCTGCCTGCCCCTGGGTCAGAAGCGTTCCAGTTGCAGGCACTGAGCTGGCCTGACTGTGCTTCAACATCTGAAATGATTTTGAGATAGCAATATGAGCCCTGGGAACCATTGTACTTCATTGGCTAGTTCATTTGCATGCTCAACTAAAGATCTGAAATATCACTGATGCAGGTTTTTCTAACCTTGTCATCTTGACAATCTGAAAAACTGGCACTTCTAGTTAGGGCTAATTCCTCACAAATGTTACTTTTCTGACTTGTCTATAGTGACCAATTTACAAGATATATATAGTTAATGCTACTGGCTGTGTTCACACCTGCGCACACATTTATGAGGTCACGATGTGAAGACTACAAATAGCATTTAAAGTTTTCTTTAAATCAGGTTTTTTTTTTTTAAATGAAGTGTGGGAAATGCGATATTTTACTCAATCTTTCTTTGTCAAATGAAACGAAAAAGAGAATTCTAAAAAGCTATATAAATCCTATATTGATATACAGGTGTAAATCATGGACGGTTAGTAAATTAGTGAAAACTTATTTGGAAGCTGCGGAGATGTGGTTTTATAGACGAGTGATGAGAATACCCTGGACAGATAAAGAGTAATGAAGACGTCTCGAAAAAAAAAAACTGGCTCACGAAGAGAACTGATTGCTCACATCAGAAAAAGACAGTCTACTTTCTTTGGTCATGTGATGAAAAGGAGAAAACTGGAGTACATCGTGATAATAGGAAAGTTGGAGGAGAGGCAGAGGAAGACTGAGAGAACAGATGCTGGACAGTCTGACATTATGGCATGGAAGATCATCTGTGTCAGAGTTGTCTGCAAGTACACGAGACAAAAGGTTGTGGATAGACATGACTACCAACACCGCACGGCATGGACTCTTAAGAAGAAAGAAATGAAGATACGTTTATTCATACATTACATTCCATTTGTTTTTTTGCCTTCCTTTATTCCTATGTCCCTGTGGGTTTCCATTGCAAAGACATTCTAGTTATATTGTTCACTGGTTTTCTCAATGTGTGCCTTATCCAACACCAGAGTCTTTTCTTTACCTCTTGGTCCACTAGAAATTGCTTAGTTCTCTCCCAATGCTTTACATTAGTGATTCTACCATACCATTGAATTCCCTCCACTCTGCACAGGCACCAGTTAATGAATGTCTGTAATTTATTAGTAATTGCCTTAGTTGTTCTACATGTTTCTGCTCCATTCTAAAGTACTGATTTGACATTAGAATTAAACATTTTAAGTTTAGTATTCCTTTTAATTTCTTTTGACCACAAATTCCCTATTGCTATGTAAGCTCCTCTTGTCTTTTGTATTCTAATTTTAATATCTCTATCAGTTATTTCATCTTTCTACATGTAGAAGGAGATATATAGTTCTTAAGAACTCTCATTCTCACCATTGACAAAGATAGATTGCAAGGAACTTTTTATCCTCTGAAATGCCAATGTGAATACATGAACATAAGTAGCAAATACTACAAGCAAAACGCCTCAACCAACTCATGCCTACCTTTCTCTGGTAGTCATGATCGCACATGCCATTTCCATTAGCGAGGCTATCTGCTACAGTATCGTCACTCACATTATGTGAGACAGCATCGGCAGCTTTGTTGGAAAGATTTAATGGCTGACTGTCTTCACTATCATGCCTACTTCTGTGACCTTCACCTGGCGATGACGTCTGCATTGCAGCAAAATACTGAGTCATTGTGTTGATGGACTGAGTTCCCTCGTCCACTTCGATGTAATGAAAGTCTTCCTCATTGTCTGTCAGCTCAAGGTCACTATCTCGACTGTAAAGAAAATAACAATGTAATAATAAATATTCCCAGCTATAATGTACATTCAACATTTAAAAGGTGTGCAGATTTTCACATCTTCTTCTTCTGCGTTCATCCGAAGATGTAATAGCGTTGTGTCCGTTTACAGCATGGCTGCGATATTTGCACCTTTCTGATAACACATTCGACTTCTGCAAGCATTTGTTGACCCGGTTAGCCTTCCCGGTCTTCCACATCCAATCAAGACATTTTCTTTCTGCTATTTTATATACAGTTAACAATTAAATGATAGTCAACAAAAAAGTGGCCTAAAGTTGACCACATCCCCAACTGAGCACCAACTGAGCGCCAACTGAGCGCCAACTGGTCTATAACAATATGAGTCTAGAAGCATATTCCTGATGCACCAGTGGCATGTCCTTAATTTACTTTAGATATAAGAGTTAACCATTATTAAGATTAATATGGCCTTGAGAGAATGAGGCAGCTGGGTGTAACCAGAGGGTCTGGCCGGCTCACTACACTCAGTGAAAAGGCAAGACGGACATTTAACTAGATTGTGACCGGTACCATCAGTATTGGAACTCTGCGCTGGCTGCTGAAGATGAGGACGGAGAATACACGTGAATGCCCCGAGTGCTGTGATGTCAATTCTTGACTCAACTCAATAGTTAATCAATTAATTGCAGTCCCACCCTCATGACAGACAGGTCACCCTATAGCTGCTGTGTTCCGGTGCCAGAAAAAAAAATAACGACACAGAAAGCCCATCATTGTACATTGTGGAAAAAAAAATAGAAACAGGCTGCAGTTTTATAAGGTAAATAAAACTTACACGCATCAAATGCATAAGGCACACAACAGCGGTGTACTACGTAGATGAAGCCTGCGCATACATTCGTTAAGTTTTTTTTATGCCCTGTCCCAAGGCAGAGGTCGGCTCTGTGGCTAAGTCGATGCGAACGCTTCGTAATGCCGGGATGCCGGATTCAGTCCCAGCTGCGGGCCATGCGCCTTGCTTTGGTTTTGACAGAGGTATCAAGAAAGCCGACTGTCCAGAAAGAAATAGCAAACTACTGGACATAAATATGCCTAGAAAAACCACACAACAGCCAGGGGCTGTTGGGGTTGGTTTGCAATGTCCTGTAAAGGATACGCAATTAACCTAACCCAAGGCATAGAAAAATGGTCTGTCATCCGAAAGTCCATGTTTGCGACCCAAATAGTCAATATATGAGCTAAAAATTCTTACTCAAAGTGGGCTCTCCTGATGTGTCTCTCGATGGCATTCCTAGTGGCACTGGCCTGGTTACAACCTCTCCATGTGCACTTGAAGAATGTATCCTCGCTGTCCTGCAGAAACAAACATGGCAACTGATGAAACAAATAGCAACTGTATACGCACATAAATATGTTTGTGTGTGTGCCTACGAATGACTGTCTCTCGCTCTCTCTTTATATATATATATATATGTGTGTGTGTGTATCCCTATTTCTGTCTGTCTATCTACCTGTCTGTCTTTCTCCCTGTCTGTCATCTGTCTATCTCCTAGTCTGTCATCTGTATGTATATCTACCTGTCTGTCTATCTCTCTGTCTATATATATATATATATATATATATATATATATATATATATATATATATATATATATATATATATATGCGTGTGTGTGTGTGTGTGTATCCCTATTTTCTATCTGTCTATCTACCTGTCTGTCATATGTCTGTATATCCCTGTCTGCCTGTCTATCTCCCTGTCTGTTTCTCTTCATATCTCCCTGTCTCTCTATCTGCATGTCTCCTTGTCTGTCTGTCTGCCTGTTCACCAGCCATTCCCTCCTCCCCTAAACCACAATACCCTGAAGGTTAAGTGGTGGTATTTGAAACGGTTCCACTTAGTCTTTGAGTGAAATTATGTAGGGACAGGACCTGGGGTTGTTGCTATTGCTATGGAGTTTGTGCTGTATGCGATGGCCTCAGCAGATGGTCAGCCAAACTATGGAGAAAGACTAGAACAGGTAAGATAAAACATGATGCAATAAAGTTGTCTATTTTACACTACTAATCATGTTTTTTTTCCACTAAGGGTGGAATTGTAATTTTTCTCAAGCAAGTCGCAAGAGAGGACTAAAGAATCGTCTTTTTCTTTTTGTTCACCCCATCTCGGTGACTCCGAGATTTCATTGGGAGTTACCGGTAAAAGTTCAATAGTATAGGTGTGTTAGGGTGTCAAATGAACACCGACTAACAAACATTATCCTAACCTTAACACCCCCCCCCCACCTCCCCACCCCACCCACCTCCCCACCCCAACTATAATACGAAAATTTTGTCAGGAACTCTACACGAAATCTCGGAATCTCCGAGATCGGGTAAACAAAAAAAAAGTACCTAAAAAGTATGGCTTGCTGCCTCGTTCTGGAGGCTGGTGCATTATGTTTGGTTGTTCCTTGATCCCCACGGCAAGCTCAAGCAAATTAAAATGTGTGAAATATCAGTTTACCCCCCCCCCCTTTTTTTTTTCCCACACACACACAACTTAAGAAAGCAACCTTTGTGAGTCTAATGTAAGTTCTTCGGTTTTATTATTTTTAAAATGGGTTCTTTTCTTGTATTTCACCCCATCTCGGGCACTTCGAAATTTCCTGGGGATTTCCCGGGAAGTCTAATAGGATAAGGGTTTTAGGGTGAAATGAACATCGAATAAACCGCGCTCTGCTATTCTTCTCCCTAGCTGCTCTATAACTAGCTCCCTCGCTGCTTCATTTCTCCCTCCCTAGATACACACGCTACTCCCTCCCTAACTGCTCCACTGCTTCCTCTCTAGCTTCTCCGCTGCTTCCTAGCTACTCCACTGCAGCTACTCCCTTTTGTTTTTAATCCCCCTCCCTGTCTACTACTCAACCCCTAGCTACTCTGCTACGCCTCCCCAGCTACTCCACTGACTGCTCCCTCCCTAGTTACTATCGACTCCACACACCACTGCCTCCGCACTACAATAGTCCGGCCATAAACACTTCAGCTATTTTAGCTACTTTTACTAGCTATAAATAGCTTCTTTAGGTTAAAGCAATCTTTAGCCAGTTAGCCCCAGCGTTGAGGGGCCGCAATCTGGTAAAAATGGCCAAATGTCTGAGCTTGTACGTTGTGTCAACGGAACGAGGGAAAAAAGTCACTCACTCACTCAGAGCAGCGCTATCAGCGCTATCAACACCACGTGATGTAAATAAACACGCCGGCTACACGTGCTGTGCCCTTTTGGTTCGAGGTCACATTACCTGAGGTCGTGTAAGGATGTGCGTGCAACAACAAGGTGGTTGGGGAAGGGGGGTTTGAGGAAACGAATACAGAAATGCCTTCGAGTGACAGCACTTTCTTGGCTAGGACTCAAAAATTTCTAGTTTTATGGATATCAGCTTCTGCTGTTGTAGTTGCGTAATGATGTTGATGTGGTAACCGTCATAGTGGCGGATTCAGGCAACACAAGAACCGGTACACACATCGTAGATTCCATTATCGTGATGTGGAAAAAACTAAATTCGGTTAGCCGTCACGTTATTTGTGTTTCATGTGCGTATGTGCACTTATATATTCACCCTGAAAAGGGCAGTTGAACGTACTGTACTGTGGTTTACAGCTCGACTGCGATATCTACGTTTTTTGGCCCAACACATCCAAATTCGGCAAATTATAAAAACATAATGGCACACTGAAACCCATAAGTTTTCCGTTCTTCTTCTAACTCAAATCTGAGTTCGAAGAAGCTCAGCGCAGTGCACAGGCTCCTGAAATACTCAGGGTAGATTTTTAACTCAAAATCTTACCCGGTCAGCGCCGTTAGCTACTCTTTGATTTCTAACTGCCAAGGGATTTTTTTACGTGCGCAACAATTCACACGGGTGTCCGATCCCACTACCCAGAGACAAGGGGCAATTACTAGAAGTCCAAGTCCACATGAAAAAAAAAAATCCCAGCCCTTACCGGGGATTGAACCCGGAACCTCTAGTATTCGTGGCGGTCATCATGCCTAGAGACCACGCAGCCCCCCACCGGCAAATTTCTAATTAATCGCCTTTCACGACCTGTTTGTTTAGGGAGTATTGGGACTGTTCTGTTTCCCAGAACGGAGATACCACACGGTGAATGTAGGTAGGTGTATTATCCGTGCAAATTTGTATGGAAAGACATCCAGAGGAAGACAATGAGATCAGATTCTTGGCAGCTTTCTGTGCTGTCTTGGAAAGTTGTCAGCATACACGCCATAATTCGTCTCTTCCTCCTATTTCTTTCTTCCTTCTCCTTCCACACCGTCGTACTATCTTCTGCGTGCTCCTGTCTGATGACAGTAAAAAAAAGGAAAGAAAGAAAGGAAAGTAGCGTGACAGGTAGGTAATGGCGGTGTCAGGTTCCATTCCCGGTATGATAACATAACTTTCGATATTTACATCATCTGGTGTGCCCTATCTCTATATTTCTTTCGGTAAGTGCTAATCAGTGTATGTATATTTGTTTATTACATACGAAAGGTAGGTAAGTCGATAGGTAGGTAAGTCGATAGGTAGGTATGCATGTAGTTCAGTATTATTCAACCTAGGGACGCAAGGGAGTATCGGGGGGGGGGGGGTGAAAGGCGCTAAACAATTCTGAAATTGAGTTTTTGTGTGCTTATAATAATCTGTTTACCCCCCCCCCCCCCCTTTTTTTTTTCTCCTTTCCCCCAGTTTAATTATACATAAAATATTTGTGTTAACTATAAAACAAAAAACACACACACACAAAACACAAAAAGAATGATTTTGTTTTCATGAGCAGTCTGTGCATCTACAGTTAAACATGTAATGAATAGGATAACACGTGCATTTATTAGAGATCAATAACACATTCTGACCAAAACCCGTATCTCCACACTTTCATTAAATGTTGGAAACCACTAATGCAGTTGAATAGATTTGTAGTTAGGAAGACAAACAAGTTATTGTTGCGTGTGAACAGGTATGTCAAATCAAGTGTCATCTCTCAAGTCTGGTGCATTCTGTTGAATGGGTGAATGCATGAATCAAATAAATCGAAGAACTGACATTTCTGTACTCGGGGCTTCCCCACACGTGACCTAACCCCCCACCTCCATAGCCAAAGATAAGTTCCCACACGGATAGTGCCAGTTGCACCTGATTACAAGTACACATGTCTTTTTCTCGGCGTTTTGAACACAGTCCAAGCCATCACTTACTCCCGCTGTACTCTGTTCAGGTTACCACAGCCCGAAGAAAAAAAAGGAGGGGGGGGGGACACTTTTGTCTTTCGGAACGATGCTGATAAACAGATTTCCTCCCGACCCATTCCAGAGAACCACCCATAAGGGAACCGTCTTACAGAGCTCGCTTCCCTTCTCCAATCCCATAATATCAGTGAGAAAGACCAGAAGTGGAATTTCACATCTTCGTGTTGTGTTGGATGCAAATAGTGCCCAGTGGACAGAAGAGGAAAACAGGAGATATGGACAGCTTAAAGAAATCTGAGGAACAGTAGAAAGGGAAATGAAGAAGTGTAAACTGACTTGAGATACCATGGGCAGAAAACCAGCAGACCGGAAGACATGGAAGCCATAGGCGCCAGAACCTGGGCTCTTGAGCACATTGAGCCCCTCTCCACCTCCCCGCATAATTTTACGGAGCAACAGATTTTGATGGAAAGAGATACAGAGGAAGACAATGAGATAAGATTCGTGTCGTTCCGTGTCGATGTAGAAGCTCCTTAATGTCATCAATCCATATATTCTCCTAGGGCGACCTCTTGATTTCCCATCAGATCTTTTCATGTGCTGCGCTTGAGCTGGCAGATACACAAGGGCACGGCCTTCTCTATTTATACGCCAAACAGGTCAACGGGGATTCCCGTTCTTGTGCAAGAATGGAGTCCCTCGATTAGAGACGGCGTTGCATAAGAGATAATAGCTAATAAGACACCGTGCGGTGGCTGTGATAGAGATTTCAGTCCTTTCTGAAGACGATTGTAATCAGGTCGAGATTCAACACTCCACATATCGACTGAGATTAGAAACAGGTTGGTAATTTACTGCCTGTGTGGGTTCTAGGGGGCGACTCAGTGCTCCTTAACAAACATGACGTAAAACGCAACTAATTACACGTTTACTAAAGTCGTATGTACTAATTTCCTTTTTTTTTTTTAAAGTCGTATGCGCTGGGCTGAACGGCGCAGATATCACAGCCTAGCTACATATCACAACGCAACATACCAAACATACTTTTAACAGCGAAAGCGGAAGAATAAGCAGTAGTAGCATAATAAGGAGAAAGAGGAGGAGGAAAAGAAGAAGAAGAAGAAGAAGA